CCCATTTAGGTCCACTTCTTGATGATGATGCTAACTGTTGCAGCAACGGGAGTTGCTTTCATATTGATCTTTGTGGCCGTAAAAGGATGGAGTAGCGTAAGTTAGATTTTCTTGGTTTAACCTGGTAGCCCTGATGAGAAAACTATTTTAATGGAGGCTTGCTTTGGTTATGAAGGAACTAGGCGGCCAAAATGCCACTCCCTTCCCCCAAAATGGACTGCCATTGTCTTATAACCACAGCCAACAACAGAAACACACTAGTAGGTTTTCAGTTGGGACTTCTGAGGGATCGAGAAGTGATTCTTATTGTAGCTGTTCGCTTGCTTGCCTAACAGGCCAGTCCTATGTATGTTTTTTATGCATGTTTCAAGAGCTATTTCAGAAGGGATTGGACCAAAAGGACAAAATTTGTAGACTCAGGGTACTTATATAAGGAACAGAATACATTATCTCAGGTTATTCTCTAATCCAGGGGTCCCCAACTCCCAGTCCGTGGCCTAGTGCTGGTCCATGGGCTTCCCGGAACTGTGCCGTGGAGACAGATCTCTGTCCCCCCAATGCACGGTGGGCATGTGGTGCTTGCAGAGGGGCGTGTCATTCTTGTGCACATGTGGGGGGGGCGCGACACACCCCTTTGTGAGTGCCACACGCCCCTCTGTGAGCACGACATGCCCGCCGGCAAGCGTGGGGGTGTCCCCGCTCCCTCTGCACAGAGCTTGCCACCCCCAACCAGTCCATGGTCCCCAAAAAAGGTTGGGGACTGCTGTTACTGTCAGCACCAACTGAAAAAAAAAGTATCTTAGGGTCATAGCATTCTTCTAGTATGGGCCCTTGCAGCTTCTGACAGTCACAAATGGAGCTCATTTTGTTTCAGGTCATCATCTGTGGCCTCAAAATGATAGGTATGTTAGAAATGAAAATAACTACTATTAAAAGTATTCCAGGATTAAAGAAGTATAACTATTACACGCTTTGTTTTTAGTTTTCAGAATTTATTGCTTTTCTCTGTAGCCTTGCTTTTATTTAAGAAGTGCAGAAGTAAACAACATGCTTTTTTTTATAGGGTGCAGGAGCTCATGCTATTATTGGATGCATTGTCACGATTCTTTCATTTCTTCAAATGATGATTGCATTTTTTCGACCTTCTCTTCAAAACAATTGGTCTGTGCAACAAAATGCTTTAGCAGAATGCAAAATTCATTGACTATGTTGTTGTCTAAGTGCAATTTCTTTTTCTTTCTTTCTTTCTTTCTTTCTTTCTTTCTTTCTTTCTTTCTTTCTTTCTTTCTTTCTTTCTTTCTTTCTTACATATAATAGTCTTGGGATAAAATCATATGTTTAAAGGGCCTAGTTCTTTAAGTGATCTATAAACAAATAACCAAACCACAAAATATAAAAAAGAATTATTTTGTCTAAATGGTGGGGTGTCCACCCAAAAGTCAGTCCTTCTCGGTTTAATGCAGTGTTTCCCAGCCTTGGGTCCCCATAAGTTTTTGGACTACAACTCCCAGAAATTCTTGCCAGCACAGCTAATGGTGATGGCTTCTGGGAATTTTAGTTGAAAAACATCTGGGGATTCAAGGTTGGGAATATGGTGATGGCTTCTGGGAGTTTTAGTTGAGAAACATCTGGGGATTCAAGGTTGGGAATTGCTGGTTTAATGGGACTGACTCCCAGGCAAGCATATGCAGCATTGCCACCAAACAGTGATGCTAGGGTGCTAACTTGAAAGACTGTCAAGGGGGCACTGTTGGGTTGCCTCACAAAATGGCAAATATCCAGAACTTTAAACCATGCTGTTTTGGACTACAACTCCCAGAATCCACCTCACAAAATGGCAAATATCCAGAACTTGAAATCATGTTGTTTTGGACTACAACTCCCACAATCCCACATTTTGCCCTGAGGGATTCTGGGAGTTATAGTCCTGGGGAAAAAAATCCAAGTTCTGACCAAACCTTGTTAAGCTCCAGAACCTGTCTTCTGTGCAATCCTCCCAGAAGGATGGATGAAATAGCAGCAAAAATTAATGTGTCTTTGAGTGTATACGAAGTCTATTTTTCTTGCCCACTGAATAATGACAAAGTGTGCACAATACCGGGATTAGACAAAGATTATATCTCGGAAGGCACATGATTCAGGCAGGACTGTACCTCGACTGTGCAACGCAGAAATCTTGATTCCACAGGATTGCATTTGACCCACTTCCTGGATTAACTATAAGGATACTAGAGTAACAACGGAGCCCCAGTGTAGGTTATTTGTGCTAATACTGTGCATATGTGTTATGCTTTCTCAAGAGGCAGATGAGTGAATAATATTCATCATCTTTTTTTTATCTATATATATAGTGTGTTAGGGAAAGGCTGCACATGTTTGTGCTGGATTTGCTCCATTGTAAGGAGTTGTGGGTTTGAAAAGAAGAATAGATCTGATGTCAGGTTCCTAGAACCAGTGAATGTTTATGTTTTGGAGAACAAAGAGTCTAAATCAGTGTTTTGCATTGCATCTACAGGAGGTTTGTTTTTAATTGGTTTCACATGCTGAATGCGTTAGTCATCAAGGTTTTGGCAGGTAAGTGGAGGGATGTTTCTATTACAACTTCAAAGAACAGTGCTCAGTTCTCACCCAGTAAGCTGATCTAAGAAATTTGCATGCCTGTGATGATGCAGCAGAGTATGGGATCCGGATTAGAAACAACAAAACGAGGGAACTGCCGTGGAATGCCAACACTCTGGTCCTGTGCAGGTATGTTTAGAAACTCCAGTGGCAGGTAGAAACTTGGAACACAACAGCACATAAAGAAATCTCTCCACAGCCTGCTTCCAAGTCCTTATGTTCAGAATCAAGCTGTGAAGATCTAAGTTTTTGTTTTGACATAGGCGGTTTCTACTCCTGTATTTCTGAGAAACACAAGTACAAAGTAGGTCATATCTATTCATTGCACAGAAACAGAAAGGGATGGAAGTCAGACAAGGCATATCACAGATACATTGCACTAGAAGAGGAGGAATTAACTGATCTTAACAGTAATTTGTTCTACAAGATCCTGGAAATTTTAATTTTGTGGACTGGGAAATCACTAGCAAAAGTTACACAGATTCCTTTTTTAACTACAGGGGTGGGAAATCTTTGGCCTTCCAGATGTTTGGGGCTGCCACTCACGTAATCCCTTACCATTGGCCATGCCACCTGGGCTTCTGAGAGTCAACGTCAAAAATATCTGGAAGAACAGTTGGTTCCCTACTCTTCTTCTATGGGAAGAAGATGTATAATCTCATATAACCTCTATAGTTGCAAGTGTGTCAGGCCCCCTTCCCTGCCGTCCTTTAGGAAAATGTTAGACAGTGTTTTTTCAAGAAGTGATCAAGGATATCCTCTCTTTTAAGTTAATTGATATTTGTGTTCCCTGATTCCACCATTATTTGGGTTTTTAACTATTATGTATGCCTTATTGATGGCTATAAATATTCATATTTTGGGGGGGTTATGATTTATTTGCTGTAAACCATGGAGAATAGTGCTTAGCACTAAGTCAGGTGGTATATAAATATCTAAAATAAATAGATACATATAAAATCAGGTTCATACTGTTCCCAACAGCCAGTTTTATTACATGCTGGACATGATCTGCAGGTGAGACCATGAAACACGTTGCCATCTAAATGCCAACCACTAGCTTCTCTTGTGTCTCTTCCATCTTTAGTTGCTGCCATATTTCTGGGACTCCAAATACTTAGCAACTCTTCTGGCCACTGGATGGTTAAAACCATGGGAGGCTTTGTGGGCTGGGAGGCACTCATGGTGATCCTGATGGTTGTAAATCAGTGTTTCAAAAAGAAAGGTAAGGCACAGTCCTGGGATGACCCTCCCAAAGCCCATACAAAGCTCTTCCGCTTGTTTTTAAATATCAAAGAATAAAAGGTTCATTTCCTATTTTTTTTGTCTTTTACATTTTCCAGAAATATATGAGGATCCACAAGCCAAGGTAAATCCTTTTTGTTCTTGCAGCAGTAAGCAGTTTATGTTGGTGCATTTCTGAGTGCTAGTTATGGCCCTTCTCATCACATAGCTGGTTCATGACCGGAGCTGGAGATGTGCCTTGAATCTCAGAGTGATGCGGAGATATCCCACTACTCGCCATGATCCGCCCCTATTTCTATTGCCAGCTTAAAACAGAGTTCCGATTGACTCTCCAGACTTCAGGGGGTCTCGTCCCTTCTCATTGCATCATGTTCAGCCGACGTGATGCGTACAGCACAGCCGAACAGATAAAAGAGATTGACTCTTCTTTTTCTGGCTTCTTCTGTCTCATAGCAGGAGAAGAAAGAGGCAAAATTCTCCTTCCGTTTCCACTTCTGTCCTGATGAATTACTGTTCAAACACCCACGCATGTACAATTTGTATTTTTAAATTCCTATTTATTAAATGTAAAGAGAAATGTCATATCTGATTAGGCCCTTAGCTTTAAAGACAATACCTCTGCCCACTGCTTGTGGGAATGTATGGATTTGTATAGATACCTAGAAGGAAATACTCTGGCTGACAAAATGAGTGCCAGAAATACTCACTTTTTATTTTCTAGCTAGGCTTTGCCTTGCGTTTCATTCCATGATCCCCTGCTTTCTTCCTCCATCTTTTTTAGATTTCTCTCTGCTCATGAATGTATGTATTTTTCTTTTCTAGGTGAAAAGTGAAATATTACTGCTGCATATATGTGTGTGTGGAAACCTGGCATTTTTAATAGCTCTGCTTGTAGGCATTGGAAGATCTTAGAATTAGTTTCCTGTTGGGTGGAAGAATGAAAACCGCCTCTGCTCTTTTGCTACTTGGCATTTCCAAAAAGAGACTGTCAAAAATTTTATCTCTTTGATGCAAGGTCTTTTTGGCCATTCTCGCAACTTGTTGAAAGCAGCCTGCTGTGCACAATATAAGGAAATCTATTTAAATATAAATCAACAGATGACACATTCAAGGGCAAAAGTGGGTTCACACTGATTATATGGTATGGTCTGGAGCAAATGTACATCCTTAACACATAAGGGATACATTTCCATGGCAATTGCTTCATTTCAGTAGATATAAGCCCAGATCAAGGGAAACTGTTCCTCTTTTTTGCTGATAGTAACTTGATAACTGATTAAAATTAAAAGTAATCAGTTATCAAGTTACAATCAGCAAAAAAGAGGAACAGTTTCCCTTGATCTGGGCTTATATCTACTGAAACATAAGGCAATGTACCGTTTCACTCTGAAAAATCCCCCAGATTTTAGCTAAATTAAGGACTCTTAATGAATAGGCTTAATTAAGGACTCTTCCAGACAGAGCATTTATTGTCCTTGAAGCACAGAGTTCTGCCACAGTATCAGTACCTCCCCATCTGTATTGACATTCCCCTTATTACACTCCATCCAATATTTGTTTCTTTGACTTTCTGCCCCTTTTTGAAGGCACAGCTTGGCAGGGATGTTGGCAAGTCTTTGAGCTGGAGTCCCCAGTCCAAGACTGAGTCTTTGGTGCCAAGGGCCAAGCCTGAAGTTGACTCCCTATCCAAAACAAGCTTTTTTCCCCAGGAAAAAAAAGAGAGGGTGCTGAATCATGAGTCAAGTCCGAGTCATCGGAAAGAGGGATGAGTGGTTCCGAATCATGAGTCAAGTCCGAGTCATCGGAAAAACAACAACAACGTGTTGAGTCCGAGTCGAGTCACTGGTGCAATTTAACTCCGACTTGATAGCAAGTCCAGCAACTTGAATCCCCATCCCTGCAGTTTAGTGTTGTTTCCTACCAGGGGCAGAGTTTAGTGCCTCCCATTTGCAATGGATCTCAAGTGAGACCCTCCATTTGGAAGCTTTCAGTCACTGCTCAAAGCGGAGGTAGCCCCAGCAGTGAAACTCTCAGCAATAGAGTGAGTTCCTTGAAGAAAATCAAGAAAAGTAGGCTTTTAAAGAGAATTTTGCATGCATGTCCTGGTAAGCTTGTGGGATGGGAGTGGCAAATGCTCTGTTTGGAGGAGTCAGAACTTGCTTAATGGAAACGACAGTCCCAATTCTCTTCCAGGGCTCCCACATTCTTAAGGCTACAATTCTGCACAGTTGCAGAGTTTTAAGAGTAAATTCTGACGAGTGCTTTGGAATTTACTCCTGATCGTGATGGTAAAGCCCCTGCGTTCAGATATATGCAAACCCCGTGTGTTCAGATATACATAGCACTTATATATGCTATGGCTGCCCCATTCATTTTAAAGGAACCGAGTAAGTGCTCAGAATTTCCCTGGTGTGGATAAATCAGGTCCTTTGATGAAAAAAGAATTGGAACTTTTGAGGGTGTAGCAGAAACTCCTTCTGTGCCATGGAGTCCTTACAACAGCAAACAATGGTTGGATCAAGGCACATAACAACTTTCCCTATTATATTATGTCTATTATGTTTTTCCATGATTTTCCTGTTTTTGTATCACCAGTCTAATCCAGCAGGTGTTGTCAAATCCTTGCCTCACCTCAAAATTGCATGCATCCTTTACAGTTGATAAATATACAGCTGATAAATATATATGTTCTTGTTAGGAATAGAAAGTGATCTTATAAGCTTAAATGTCAATAACTTTAGAAACATGGATTACAGATGGGAACAAAAATATGTTGCGGGGGGACACTTCTTGTGTCTGTTGTAGACCTTTGGGTAGTGTGGGCGGGATATAAGTTAAATAAATAAATACATAAATAATTAAGTTTTCCTGGGGTACTTAATTATTGTTGCCCTTAGAGGACTGACCAAGGACTGGGAAGAACTGGGCTCAAAATTCCACTCAACCAGCAAGCTTGTGTTGGAGAGTTTTGAATTTCTGGTAAAATTCTTTTTCTTTTTCTTTTATTTGCTACACAGTGGAAGTACAGAGACTCACAGAGCAGAATAGCTACAAGTTCCTCAGATAGTCCTCTCCTTTCTCATTAACTGGCACATAAGGTCTCAATTACTTATTCTGAGATACTTGTAAGAGAAAGAATAAATACGTTTCATTACTTACACTTGTGAAAAACCGCAAAAAGCTTTGATTTGATTCCAGCAAACACACATGCTGAAAATGAACCAAGATGGAGCAATCCTACCCGCAACTAAAATAGAGTAGCCTCTGATAGGGACCCAGAAAGGTGCAGGTAGGAATACTCTGAGGACAGGCTAGTTTGTTCTAGCAATTATGCTCTAGCAATTTTGTTGTCTTGTCACCTGCAAAAGGAGTGAATCAGACCATCCCCACAGCAGACCAAACAATAGGACAAATGCTTGTCTGATTACACCCAGAGACCCCCCTTTATAGTTTGCTTTCCACCCATGAGTCAGATCATTAAAGAGACCAAAACAATATTTACTTAAGGCATTAGCTAATGCTTCCTCACTATTGTCTTTGCCTGAGGTTCTCAAGCATAGTTCAATAGCAACATCACCTCCTTGGGGCAGCGGAAGTCATAGCTACTAGGTCATGGTTAGCATTTAGACACAGATAATTAGTAATCATTGGTTATCTCTCGCAGGAGGCGTTAACCTCCCAAAGTGTATATATTCAGTGCTTCTGATTATGTCTGAATTGACCAATCATCTAATAGCACAGAAGGAGAAACAATTGATATGTTGCAGCTACAAGAAAACCCTTTTGTATTGATGAATTAGAAGACATCACATTATTTCTCCATCTTATTGTAGTTATGGGGAATATGTCACCTCTGGCTGTTGTAGTGCGACTGCCATTATCCCTCGCCATTATATAGCCTAGGGCTGCTGGGGGTTGCAGCCCAACAACATCTGGAGGGCCACATGTTCCCCACCAGTCCCCCATTGTCTCTGCCAAAGACTTTTATGCTGTGACAGATGGGAAATTTGTGTCCCTCCCAGATGTTAGTTGACCACAACTCTCGTCAGCTCTAGCTAGCCTGACCAATGATGACAGATTGTAGGAACCATGTTCCCAACAACATCTAGAGCACCCAAGGTTTTTCAGCCCTGTGCTATAAATAGAATAATATTTGGCAGCCAGTTCAGGTAGTTTCCTTTTCCAGATGGCCCCCTTTGAGTCTTTTTAGATAGATGAGAGCCACCACATTAAAATGAACTTATCTGACACGTACTGTACCTCCTTCTATAATGACATTTATAAGGAAACCATTAAAAAGCACTTCTCAGGGGTGGAATGGGGTGGGGGCTTCTCAGGGGTGGGAGGGGGTGGGGGCTGGAATTTGGGGAGAATTCTGGCAAATGAGGTCCAAAAACATAAAAGAGCACAATCCAATTGGCCATGCTGGCTAGACCTGATGGAAGCTGGAGTCCACTATATCTGGAGACTTCTGAACTCTGAATTCAACCATTTAATTTTTTTAATAAGCCTATTAAGATTTAGCACTGGCCATTGCAGCTCCCCACTGGACATAAAAATATGTCAACAGTATCTAAGGAAGTGGGCTGTCTCACCAAACTGTATACCAAATAAAATGTGTTGATTTTGAAAGCAGCACAGGAGTTTTTGTCATTATCTGGGCTGCTTTTATTACTCTTCTTGACTAAGAATAAGTGCCTGAAGTCTACTGCATAAAGTAGCTTACCATTTCCTTTGACTATTTTCCTATTATTGATTGTAATCCTGTTATTATCTCAGTGAGTGTTTCACAGCTTTAAGAACGCTGTAGGTGTTGCAATCAAGCCTCATAAATGGCACACTGCAAGACAAAGGAGATGAACTGGGCCAACTGGTTTTATGAGAATGCGGCAAAAAAGAACCCTTAAGAAAGGGTGGTGATATTGTGGACTGCAATATTATATACCTGCATGCTCCCCAGGGTCCTTTTCATAGGCTTTTCTTTGTGGCTGTGCTAGGACACAACAAATGATTTGAAAGGAGACTGGCCTACAGCACTTGCATGATAAACTGACTCCACAATGTGCCAAAATTGTTGCTTAGTCTTACTTGGGCTACTATGCTAGACCGTTGCAAGTGGTATTT